ATATTTTTATAGAATATAATTATATAGAAGAGGATAGACATATATAAAATAGTACAATATGGAACTGAGTTGAATAGAAATGCTGAGTGGAATTGTACAGAATAACACAACAGTAATTTTGTAGATTTGTGTAGAATAGAATTCCTAGGACAAAAAGACATAGTATAAAACAGAGCTGTGTAGAATTGTATTAAATAGTGTTAAATTGTGTAGAATGGAATTGCATATTGAGTGAACATTTTAGTATTTAGAGCAGTGGTTCTCAAAGTGGGGGTCGGGACCCCTCGAGGGGTCGTGGGACAATAAAGGGGGGTCGCCTGGTGATTTAAAAAAATCTATTTATTATTATTAAATCATATAAGAATGACCATATTTTATCCATAACCTACTGAAGAGAAAAATATAGTTGTTTATAATTACTATATAGTTACTATAGTAGCTTATAGTTACTAGTTCTATTGGATTGCAACCCCAGTGGTGGTTACATTATATTAAAGACACAGCAATAGCGTCAGATGCAGCAGATTGATTTTATAACACCAGGTTAAAGTTTCTGGCCCATTTACAGCACTGACATTAAACGAAGAATATCCATGGGTGTATTGGTGTGTGTGTGACATTGCATGCAAGGTTTCTGTATTCATAACCAGGATATTGGGGTTCGCGAGTCACTGGCATCGTCATATTAGGGGTTGCAGGCTGAGTTTGGGACCCTTTGATTTAGAGAATTGTTTTTTCTTATTAGAATCTCATAATATAAAACCTTTTTCTCAGAAGGATGAAATCAAACCTTAAAAGCAAATAAAAGTAGAACAATTTCTATAGAATAGTATAGAATTATATAAAATAGTGCAAAATAGAATTGTGTTGGATATAATTGTTGAATGGACTTATATAGAATTGCACAAAATAGTATTGCATAATTCCGTAAAATTGTATAGAATGGAATTGATCGAATAGAAATGTATAGTGTTTATAGTATTAAATATTATACATATACTTGATAGAATTGCATATTTAGATTAGAGAATATTTCTCAGATGGATATAAAGCTTGTTTTTTTGAAAACATCAAACCTTAAAATGTAATTGAAGTGATAAAAGAACAAATCAAAAGTTACAAAAGTTATACAAAACTATAAATAACAGCAGTTCTCCCACTCCTCTGTCTCCATCCATACAGTCTTTCTTCCTTCCTTATTTTTTTTTATTTTTAATATAAGCCTTGACTGTATGTATTCCCACAGTACGGAGGAAAAGTCCTGAATTAATTGTGTTTCTTGCAAAGGGGGACCGTTTAGCACAGATGGAGAGAGACTTCCCACTGCTTGGAGATGTATAATCATATAAAAGAGTATAGAGTTTTGTATAATTTGTTAGAATTGTTATATATTAACATTATAGAATTGTTATATTCGCCCCCCCCTTTGATTT